TCAGGGCCACGCCAGGGCGGCACCGCCCCCACCGCTCCAGCCCCAGAGCGGGCCCGCTCGCCGCAGGCCAGTCCTGCCTGCCAGGGTTAGCCCCTGCCGCCCCCGGGACCCTCCTCTCGTCGCAGCCTCCTGCGTTGTGTCCCTAGGGGACACAGCAGGTCCCCCACACAGGTGACCTGCCATGTCTCTGAGCCATCGACTGGTGGGCACGTAAAGGTCTTCCTTCACTTGCTGGTGCTGTTTGGGTCATTTCTGGAAGATGCCGCCATTGCATCTCTCTGGGGGCTTTCCTGCTCTGAGCGTGGCCTGGGGACCACTATGCATCTGCCCTGCAGCGGGTGATGTGCACCCTTTTCCCCTGTCCCTCCTGAACGTGTCCTCCCACCTTCATATTCAGCTCACAGGAATTAGCCCGAGTACCATGCCAGTTGTTTCGTCATTCTCACCACACACCATGTTACCCTCAGGATGCGCAAGACATCCGAGGGGTTCACTCCTTGGCCTCCCGCATCCTGCCCGGCTGCAGGAAAGGCTCATGGCATGTGCCACCTTGATGATGTCCTGAGAGGAGACCCCTGTGCCCCCTCAGCCCCTGCAGCATGCACCACTCTACCTTCCCCTACTTTATCCCCTTCCATCTTCTGAGTACCACAAACTCATGAAAGAGGAACAGTTTCCATCCCAATAGTTGCATCACATGATTGTGAGGTAAAAAAAAAGTGTCAAAGGTTTAAACTCCCCGAAGTAATTATATTGCTTTGTTGTCCCCAGATACCTTTTGTATGATGTAAATCCTCCTGAAGGGTTCAACCTTCGCAGAGATGTCTATATTCGCATTGCTTCCCTCCTAAAGACCTTGCTGAAAAGTGAAAACTGGGTGTTAGTCCTGCCTCCCTGGGGACGTCTTTATCACTGGCAAAGCCCCAGCATCCTTCAGGTCCGGATCCCTTGGTCTGATTTCTTCGATCTCCCAAGTCTCAACAAGAACATCCCTGTCATCGAATATGAGCAGTTCCTTGCAGGTAGAGTATGGGGTCATACAATCTACAATTGACTAAATATTTGAGGTGGTTTCTTTACAGGTTTATCCTTATATGTGCTTTTATCCTTATATGTGCAATAAAAAAAGTTAAAGGTGGCAAGAGGAGGAATGGGAAAGAATTGTGCTGAGCAAACCATTAGGATGAAATAACCCAATTATTTGGCAGCTCATTTGATGTAGCACTTCCTAGGGACCCAGAGAAAGACAGTTAATGCCTCTGGTTAAAGTCACAGATACTTCTGCGTAATTTTGGCCATAGTGACAACCCTGCAAGGAGAGAGAGGCAGCCTGCAGCTCTCTGTCGAAATACAGACAAGCCACCTTTTTCTGGAGGTGGTTGGACAGTAAAAATTGTACAGCGGGTTCTTTGGTGAACTTACTTTTTCGTCATCGATGCTGCACATACTCAAAATACTTATCTCATGCTTTTTGTGTGCAAAACGGTATATAAGAGAAAGGTTTTCCCTAAGAATATGGGAACTGTGAAGTTGGTTCCTTTAGGATTTAATGCCACGTAGAGCTAATCACCAAATGCCAGAATCTGCAGCAGTGTCACAGACTTTCTCAATAAAGGAAATAAAGGCCACCAAATGTCACACCTCTGCAAAGAGCTCTGAAGGGTTCATTGTCCTCTACCTTTCAGGAAAAAGCATTTAGAAACCATACAATTTAGGGGAAGAAGGGCTTGTGCTTGTCATTTTCTTGGAGGCACTCTTCCTATAGCAGCTACCTACAGCATTGAAAACCTCTGTGCTTCATGGTGTGTTTTACCCAGCTTTTAAATTTACATTTCTGTGGTGATTCAGTTCTGTTTGGCATGTTAAATCATGCATAGCTGGGTGGGAGTAGCAGGTTGTCATATCCCCTGACCCTTTTAGCTTTTCTTGCTCACACAGAGCTTCCTTTCCTTTTTTGTAGGGAGAGCAAAAGGAAGAGAGAAGGTAGTGTAATACAGTATTTCTAGCAGATTTTTAACTGCAAGTAATGCTAGTTCATACCTTTATCGTGTGGTTTTTCATGCTCACAAATGCTTTGCTTTGCCTTCTGCTCAGAGTCAGGTGGGCCCTTTATTGAACAGATTTATGTCCTACAAGGCTACGCAGAAGGATGGAAAGAAGGAACATGGGAAGAAAAAACAGATGAAAGGCCATGCATTGATCAGCTCATGTACTCCAAAGACAAACATGAGTACTACAGGTAACATCTGGCAGTCCTTTCAGTCTTCTTTTTAGTTGTATTCAATGAGACATTTGCCTACTCTAACAGAACAGACTTGTGCAGTTATTGTAGTGTTGTCTGTGAATCTCTGGGTGCTTGAGGCTCTCTTTGTTTTTAAAACCCCATCAACAATAAAATGTTGTATTGGTACTAGAAGATCTAATTTTAGAAAGTTGTTGTTTCACACAAAAACAGTATAATGGAGCTGGCTGGTTTATTTACATTATATATCATCTTTCTAGTGTGTACTGTTTATTTGTTTCATTATATATGGCATTAATTTAAAATACAAGCCTGTGCACCAATGCTTTGTGTTCCCTTTCAGGGGATGGTTCTGGGGTTACGAGGAAACGCGGGGCCTAAATGTCTCTTGTTTGTCTGTCCAAGGATCTGCCTCTATTGTGGCTCCCATCCTTTTGAAGAACACTTCAGCACAGTGAGTTGGCTTGTATTACTATTTATTGTTGTATTGTGTGCCCACAAACCCATTGCCAGGTGGGAAGAGCAGGGGGAACTTACAGGCTATGTCCCACTGTTGTGGTCTTCATCGCTGAGTTATTGTAATCTGTTAAAATCATTACAAAAGGAATTTACACTGTAAGAAACACCTAACTGTAAGTTAGGTTAAATACTGCAGTGCTAAAACCTAAGAGGAGATAGCCTTGAGCTCCTCCATACTCTCTCTCAGGTAGCTAAATGTCCTTGCCACCCTGTGTTTACCTTTCCTTCCTTTACCCTTCAACACTGGGCCAAGAGGCAACGAGCAGAGTGGAATCAGTGTTTCCCAAGCCCACGTCTCGGATCACAAGGTGCAGTGCCTGGTCTCCTGTGACATCCGTCCTCAACAGTGTGAGCTGGGTTTAGAGAAAGCAAGCAGCGTGTTTCATCTCTGGTCTGAGATGCCAGTAGGATGATCGGAGGAAAGGAAAGCTCTTGTATGAGAGATGGAGCATGCTTACATCATCCCAGTAGCAAAGTATTTCCAGTCAGCTGTGACCCTGTAACAACTGAAGACATTGTAGCAAAGCAAAAGCTGCTGGGGTACGGGGGAGAACAGGAAGAGGAAATAATCACTGTCTATTAATACATCAGGGGAATAAATACATAGGAGAAACACAAACCATCTAAGCTGAAGTGCAGTTTTGCTATGAGAGCAAAAACATCCAAAAATTTGACATCAATCGGAATTTAATTGGAAATGAGATGAAGGTTCCCCTAAGCAGAGCAGTGGGGATCTGTAGTACCTCCCGCTGGGAGTAGAGGAAGCAAAGTCCTGTTTTTTAACAGGAATGTTCTATTTGTAGGAGTTATACCATAATCTTTGCTAGTGACAGCAGAAAACTGGATTAAATAAGTCACAGAGGTCTCCATGTTTAGCCCTACAGTTAACTCTTTCATGGCAACTGTCAAAGGTCTGGCGATGAGGAAAGTCAAGAGAAAAATGAGGAGTGGTGCCCAAGTATTCCTAACACGCAGACAAGGTGCCTTATCCACAAGATCACATTTCTCAATCAGACACAAGTTGGAAGAAGTACCAACATAACAGCAATGTAAGGGCAGCTACAGTGGTTCATGTTAAAGTTGGTCTAGTTTAGTGTGTGAAATCCAAGAGTGGCTAAAATCAGATGTCTGGGGAAAAGTATAAGAACTGGGCAAGTGTATGTAATGCCTTCCCTGAGTCCTGTCACACCCTTCAGATTTGTGGTTTTAGGGACCTTCTGAGCCAAAAGTGATCTTCCTGTCTTTTATATCCTTCAGTGAGTCCATGGATCTGTGCAAGCTTCCCTTTGAACCCCCATGCACACTGTTAGCATCCACAAAATCTTGGGACAAGACCTAAAGGTTTTGCACCTCCTTTTGTAACTCCTACCTGCAAGTTTCATCTAATGTCCCCTAGTTCGTGTAGTGGAAGAGACAGTGAACAAACAGCTCTTCCATATTCACCTCCATGCCATGCATGATTTTACATCTCTCTATCATATTCCCCCTCAGTTGTCTCCTCTGCAGTGTGAAGAGTCCTGGCTTCATTAATTGTTCTTCGTGTGAAAGCCTTTCCATGCCTTTGGTCATCCTCACTGCCATTCTCTGAACCTTTACAGTTCGACTGGATCCTGCACGCTGAGTGCAGGTAAACCCATTACATAGTGTTATAATGACATGCTCTGTTTTGTGCTCTCTTCTTTTTCTGGTAATTCCTAGTGTACAAGTTCCTTTTTTTGACCTCTGATGAGCGTTGCCTTGATGTTTTCATCGAACTGTCCCCATTCCTGAGCATCGAGCCCTTTAGTTATCAGATGAAGCCAGTATTTATTTTTACTAGACACACTCCTACATTAGATTTCATCTGCCACTTTATTGGCCAGACATCAAACTTCTCTGATTCTTCACAATTGGCCTTTGTCTTTGCTGCTCTGAGCAATTTAAAATGATTGGCAAGCTGTGTCCCCGCAAAGTTCATACCCTTTCGTAGGCTGTTTAGGAATATGGTGAAAAGCAGATTGCTTCCACTTGTGACCTCCCTCTACAATGAGAATTGGACACTTATCCCTGTCTTTAAACTTTTTTCTAATCCATGCAAGGACCTTCCCTCCTGTGCCATTGCTGTTAAGTTTTCTTAAAAGTCTTTAACGAAGGCTGTCAGGAAATCCTGGTAGGCAATGTCAATGAGATTTCCCTTAACCGCATGTGTGCTTATGTCTTCAGACTACTCTGATTCAGAGTTCAGAGCTCCATGTTGATACTTCTCCAATTTACTTTAGATATCCATTAATTCTGGTTTCTATAACAATTGCTATTAAGTTGTCCAGTACTGACATTACTGACATCAGGTTTACCACTATGTTGCATCCCAGACCTCCCCAAGTGTGTTTTTAGAAAGCTGACATCACATTTGCTGTGTTGCAATTTTAAGTGAGAAGTTGTATACCAGAATTAGTGGTGCAGCTGCTTCATCCTTGAGTTCCTTGACAACTGTTGGATGAATACTGCCTGGTGTTGGCCATTTGTTGGTTCATTTTGCCTAGCTGTTCCATCACTGGACACTTCCTATGGACACTTTGGTTTGAGACACGTTCTCTGATGAGTTCCCCTGGAAAAAGTAGTTCTGGCATGTGAATCTTCCCAGCTCCTCCACCTAGCGCACAGCTACAAAATATTATGTTAGCTCTTTCTGTCATGATGTTACCATCTCTAAGTGCTTGTTAAGCTTTTAGTTTCCTTTTTCTTTGTATTGGAATGAAGATTTGTCATTAGATTGAAGGCCTTTATTTCTTGTTGCTCAAATTCTTTTTTGACCTTCTTTATTGTCTCTTTCTGTTTAAATTCATGGAGTTTATGAGCCATTCTGTTTTCTTCACTTGGACACTACTTCTGCATTTTTGCATAGTCCCCTTTTTGAAACTGAATGCAGCTGCGGTAACTTTCCTTTGGCCATTGTTGATCCAGTAGGGTGTTGAAGATGAGTACGTTTATGGCCACTGTCACAGAGTAGCTCTTCCACTGTGAGATTTTGGTCTGTGTCTTGCTGCTGCTCAAGACAATGTCAGGAGCTACTCCCCGCCCAGTTCGTTCATGGAACTGTCTCTGACAGTGTCTCAAACTGGAGTTGCTTAGTCACATCCTGCTATGACACTTGCCCAGCCTACCTGGAGATAGTTGAAATCTCCAATGGCTATGGTGACTTGTGCACCATAGCCTCTCTGATGTCCCATATTGCCCTTTTGGCCAATCAGTTGTATGGTCCTAGTACTGTATTATTACTCTTCAGGTGTGGTCACTTACAGGAATCTTCCTGATACATTTAGATTATTAATCCGATTCACCTCTAAGCTTCCTGTTAAATGCAGTGCTGCTTCTCCACCAGCCCAGTCTAGTCTATTTTCCAAATTATTTGTAGCCTTATGTGCAAGTGTCCAGCTGATTATCAGCAGTGATAATCTAAAGTTGATTGGTTATTTGCTTCCTCTCATTTTAGTAGAAGGTCCAGATAATGACTTTGAGCCCCTTCAGCAGAAGCATTTCTCTGTGTGTTCACTCATATTCAGTGTGCTCAGAGCACAAACTAAGCCTACATTCCCTATGCTCTTGGATACTCAAAACTCTCAAAACCTCTTCTGCCTCTTAGAACTTGGATAGTGCGGTTATGTTTCCAGTAACCGCATGTATCCTGAACTGTGTGTATTTATGAAAAGCACAGGCTGTTTTCATGTTAGTGAAAAATTTTCATTTTAAAACTTGTGCTTAGTTGCTAACACTCATTTTTGTAGTGTCTGTGTGTTCTTTGATCTGTTGTTTTACTGTAGGACATTTTATTCCACACGTGGAAAACACCTTCTCTGGTTTTGCTTTTGTAAGCATGACTCCTGCTTCCTCCAAGAGGTTCTCACGTGCTCCGAGGCTGAACATCATCTCATAGGTTGCTTCTCCCCCTTGGATCACTCTCCCTGTTGGCAACTTATTTTCCAGCCGGAACTACTGAGGACTACGTGGGGGATTGTTAATGCTTGTTTGTGTTTAACTGTCAGAATTAAGAATTAAGAGTATCATTTATTAAGGAAGAGAGCAAGAACATGCAGTGGCATAGTTCTGTTCCTGCCCCAGCAGGCTATGGGTCACAATTTGCTTTATACTGAACAGATTGGCAGCCTATCCCTCATTCCCCATGCTCCCTTTGCAAACAGATCATAGTCTGTGCTTTATCCTAGCAACTGTGTAAAGAAACATCGTAATGTAAATTCTATTCCTAAGGGAACTGCACTCAGTTTTACAATTTTTAATAGGTCAGTGATGTTAGACAGAGCTGAAAACCTTCTTCACGACCACTACGGAGGGAAAGATTATTGGAATGTGAGTATTTTCCAGTTAGCTTCTCTAGACTTTCTACTTGGTTCTGATAAAAATTCAATAACCAATATGTGCTTCAGTTTTGCCTCGGGTTTCTTTTCTTGAAAGTAACTTGTGTCTTATGTTTCAGCAGTGTATGCTAAAGATGGTCTTCAGGCTGCTGTGGATTAACATAATGCAGGAATTTGTCCTGGTGTCTTGTCCCCAAAGACTTGAGTGTGCAGGGCATGGTGTTTAGAAGGACCTTCCCTGTGCAACCTCCCATCTGCAATCAGAGGGGAACTGCCTTTGTGCAGTTTCAAGATTAGACTTTTCAAAAGAATTCCCAAAAGTGCTCGATACTGTCCTAACTGTCTCCCCATTGGCTTCGATAGCAAAATTTCCATGTGTTTCAAGGTACCACTGAGCACTTTGGGAGACCCCACCCACGGGTCTATGGTAAAATAATTCCTATGGGAAAAGTTTTAAGACAAAGTTAAAGGTTCAGCCACAGGAAAACGGAACACTATGGAGTGCTTGATATAATTAAAATTTCTAAGAGAAAGTGACTTTCATGATATTACAAAATGAATTACATAGACCTCAGTCTTGCAAGATATAAACATCTAGCTATTCACTTGGTATATGGTATATTTTTCAGAAATGGACCAAACTAGTTTGCTAACTATGAATTTTTCATTGAGAGTGACTTTCCAAACAGAGAAATGCAACCCATGTATTGTTTCTGAGTCTGACTTGTAGTCCTGTAAAAGCAGACATGAAATCCGTATGGATCCATAACACACAGTGGTGCTTTAAACATTGTCTCAACAATTTAAACTTGTCTCAAGATTATTTAAAACTTTCTGGAAAATATTATTCTTTCTTTTACTTCAATTTTCACTACCTGCATGATTTTTGGTTGTTGTTTTTTTCTTAATAACTCTGGATAACATCTGAAGTTCTGTATAAATCTTGCTAACAGATGCCCTCTTGACTCAAAGAAGTTTTTAAATTGTAACAAGCCAGCTTCCCTTTGCAACCAGCCTACGTCTTTGGTGTCCAAAAATATTTGAATTTAATATTAGACTGCATTGCTCTCACTGTTGTCACCATTTTTGTTTAGGCTTCTCTACCACTGCAAGCTGAAAGGTACTGTTTTGGGATTCTTAATGGTTGAATGACCATGGAGCAGGAAAGACCTCCCAAAATGGTTTAGGAGCAACTGTTGAATCCCTTGAAGAGCATCAGTGTAGCATGTAGACCACATGAGTGCTTTACCATCTATATGGAAGCAGAAAGTTCTCTAAGGACAACTCTAGAAAAGCCACCGGTTTTGCATTTGGTTTCACCATTTTGGGGGGATGATCTCAAAGAATTAGAGGATCCGTACCATTAATTCAATTAACGTACATGAAAGGGAGCATAACCAACACTGATTTTGTTTGTTTGTTTGTTTTCCCAAACTTAGAATCACAGAAAAATTTAGGTGGGGAGGTGTCTCGGGAGCCCTGCCTCGAGGTTTGCACTCCGGAACTTGATCTGGTGGTTTGGGGCTGTGTCCAGCTGAAGGTGTAAAGTCCCCACAGGTGGAGATCTGCCATCTCTCTGGGGCCTGTCCCACAGCTGTGCCACTCTGGTGGGCAAGAGGTTTTGCCTGATGTCCAAACAGAAGTTGCCTTGCTGCAGCTTGGGCCCAGGGCCTCTTGTCTTTTTCCATGCACCTCTCAGAAGCGTCTCTCCCTTCTCTGTTTGTTTCTTTGCAGACAAGAAGGGAGAAGAAGAAAAACCTGGAGGTAGCTGAAAAGGGTGACAATATCGCACGTGCAGATTTGAAAGATATACTTTAAATAAGAGGATAACCAGATACAGACAGTATCCACTTTAGAAAGTATATCAGTGGAGGTTCACACATTCATCTGTTTTCTCTTTTACATATGCTGTTGCAAAATAAGTGTTCATCCAGAACAGCTGCTGTCAGTGGAGTGCTTTGCGCCCAGGAAAAACTTGGCATAAGCATACTGTGTGGGTGCCAAACATGACATGGCAGTTGCGCAATCCGTCAGGATGAAGTTTAGAGGTGTTTGACACAAGCATAGCATTCAAAGATGTTTATTGTCCTCCCCAGTGCACTGCACTGCTATGGGTTGTGTACATGTTTGCTGCCCCTTGAGCATACCATGTTCATCACATCTTGGGTAGGGTACCCAATGACTTGACTCAACAGGATCATATTGTGTTGACATATTACAAAAAGGAGGGAAAATGCCTCTCTCTGAACTGCAGTGTGAGCGTTCTGCAGCAGACAGTGTGTACATCCTCCCTTAATATAAATGTTTTGCTGGAGGATTTGGGATGGGATTAGAAAGCCAGTGCTGATCTTTTTAAAGATGCTAGAAGAGCAGGCTTTGTACTTCCATTAAATATTTAGAGGGGTGTGGATCTCCAGGTACCAGTGTGATGGATCTTACAGAAGACTGAATTGTTCTGCATCTTATGGAATGATATGGAGGAGGAACCAGTTCAACCACAGCGAGTTTGGCATATGGAGAAGTAGCTGCTCTGGGAAAAGGTGAAAAAAGGCTGGCAAATTCTAGTTCCTGCCTCTTTGCTAGAGCAAGCCAAAGGCACAATCGGTGTGGCTATGTCTTGGAGTACCTGCCTGGCTCCTCTGCTGTGTAACAAATTCTGTCCACTGTGGGCTTCACCGTGCTGAGAAAAGAGAGGCTGCTGGAAATTGAAGAGAGGTGTTTTCATTGCACTTTCTTTGGTGCCCATCACACAACAGGCTCCAGACTTGTATAAAATTAAGAATTAGACCAAATTGCCTAGTGTCCTTTGTAAGCAGTGTTAAGTCACATGCGATTTCCTTAGTTCTGTTGTGTGTGCCTGTTAAGAAGGCTGTGTGTGACTGTGTGCAGTGGTAACTGCATCACAGAGTTTTTGAAAGAGGTTATTATCCACAGGTGAAGGAAATAATTTCTTTTTCATCACTTTTCCACTGAATTTATAGGAGCGTCTGTGGCTAGATGCATGATTTTTTTAAGCTGGTTTTATTCTTATGGGTGTTCTGCAAGCTAAAGTCTTTGCCCAGCTTTTGTTTCCAAAGGTGAGGCATATGGCTAGGTTGTTTAATTTGGTATATTACGTGTTCTGTTGTGTAAATAACTACAGTCTACTCCGTACACCTATGTATTGCAGGGCCGGAAGAGCATGCTGGTTATAAATGTGGTTATGTTAGGATTAAACCGTTAAAGCTCAGGAGAAAGGTTAGGAATTGTTGCTTGTAGTGCTGCATGGATGTATCAGAAGTAACTGCATCCTGGAAGCTCTATGTGTGTGAAACTATCTCCACTTAGTCATTTGTAGCTCTCCCTTTTTCTGACTCAGCATCTGCTCTTATTCCAACAGACCCGTCGGAGCATGGTGTTTGCTAAACACCTCCGTGTAGTGGGAGATGAGTTTAGAAACAAATATCTTCAATCCACGGATGAGGCAGACAGGACTCATTACAAGGAGGACTGGACACAGATGAAGGTAAAATCATAACAGTCTGTTTCCCATAACAAATGTAATATTTTTTATTTATTTGTGTACTCCTGGCTGTACACTGCAGGGAATATAGGAAGATACATGTGAATCTAGCTCTCCCTGCTCAGAGCGAGGTGGACATGCGTGCTCCTACTGTACCCTCTTCTCCCTGTGTGACATGACTTAACGGAGTCTGTTGAGATGTGGCTGACTGGTTCTGGGTGCCAGATTTCTGTTCCACTCGTTTCACTAAAGGAAACTCGTATTTCTTCTTGTATTCAGCATCATCTGTGGGTGTAAAGTTCAGCTGCAAACTGCCAGTTGTGGATTTGGTCAAGGAGAGCAATTTTTGCTTACAAAGATTTTGCACTCTAGTTTCTCTTGTATGAAGCAGGCCACCCAAGATCAAAACGTTGCAATAAGTGTCCCAAAATACTGCCAATCCATACCTTAAAATTACTTTCTGCAGCTAGAGTTATTTAGTACCTTATCCAGAGATTATGCATTCAGGCCTTTTCAGTGTGAATGAATAGTGATGCTCTCAAGTTTTAAAGTTTATTGATCTTTCTCTCTTAGGTTAAGATGGGCACAGCTCTAGGTGGTCCATACCTTGGGGTTCATCTCAGAAGGAAAGACTTCATTTGGGGTCACAGAGAAGATGTGCCTTCCCTGCAAGGAGCAGTAAAGAAAATCCGCAGCCTCTTGGAGATGCATAAACTTGAAAAAGTTTTTGTAGCCACTGATGCTGTCGAGGAGGGTAGGCAGATTATAGTCAGTTTAGGATTGATAACTTTAGACAATGAGTGCAGCAATTACCACTTTGTTTTTATAAATGACTGGAAGTTCATATGCCTCCATCACTGAATGGGAAATTGAACAGGATTGGGCAGCTGTTTTCTTCCAATTTGAATAGTTGGTATGAAACCATTCATTTGGTATTTCCCATAGGAGGTTTGGTGGTCTCTACAATGGGAAATTCAGAATTGAATTTGCCTGTTCTTCCTCCTCTTTCTTCCATATCACCTTTTTTCTAAGAATTTCAGAGACTCTGACATGCCAGTGGGAAGGGTCCTCTGAATTCTCCCGCGCAACCTTCCCCTTGGCTGCCCCCAACGCCAGACTGGGGTGGACCTGCCTGTGTATGGCCAAGGCTTAGAAACCCCCAAGGGTGGGGTTCCCCCACCAGGCCTTATCCCAGGGCTGCACCTCCCTCCCGGTAGTGTCTAGGGATCTGTTTCAATGCATGATGTTAGAATAACACCACAGGGCATGGCATCTGCGATAACTAAGTTTGCTGTCAAGAAAGGCCTCTTGGTACACATACCCTGTAGGATTAGACAGCGAGGCTAGTGGTAGCGTCTGTTCTACCCTTTGCAGGCTTCCCCACCCCATGAGAATTGTCCCCCTTGGCACCGTGTCAATAATCTGACATTTGGCAAATGTGTTGTAAAATTTGTAGGTAGATTTTGGTTTTGCTTGCTTCGTAACTGTTCACCCAGGGTTTCCTTAAAGACGTGTATTTTATGACAGCAGCAAGTTGCTCTTTATAACGTAAACATAAATTTGCATCTTTCCCTTTTTCAGAGATTGAATTGCTCAAGAAACTGCTGCCTGAGATGGTGAGGTTTGAACCCTCTTGGGAGGAGCTGGAACTCTACAAAGATGGGGGCTTGGCCGTGATTGACCAGTGGATCTGCGCGCATGCGAGGTAGCAAATTTGACTTTTCTTTAAGGAGCCAAATCTTCCTGTCACAAAACTTAATACTGTTTTTGACCCAGATACAGTTGTTTACAAATCATATATGACATATATAATTGATATATATAATAGATGTATAATAATTATATTGTATGTATATAATATATATGATAATTTCATTATCATATCATTTCAATGAACATTAAAGTTTATTGGACTGAAAGCAATTACTTGCATTTTAAAAACTGGCTCCCTTCACAAACCCGTTCTGATTTTTTTCACAGGTATTTTATAGGCACCTCAGTTTCAACATTTTCCTTCCGGATCCATGAGGAAAGGGAGATCTTGGGATTTGATCCAAAAACAACTTACAACCGATTTTGTGGTGAAAAAGAGAAAAACTGTGAGCAGCCGACTCACTGGAAAATTGTATACTAAAATACAGAGAAATCCAAGGACTTCAATACTGGTGAGCTCAAAAGAATAAGGAAAAACTACAGGGAAATACCTCCCTTTGACCAAACTACAACTCAGTCCTCTACCCTCTTCTCAACGTTTACTTGACATTTGGGTTTTGAAGTACAAGCAATATTCATCTTCTTAGTCAGGCATTGATGGGAGGAGAAAAATGAAGTCAGCCTGGGGTCCAGTTCTCAGCATAGCTAGGATTAGGGGACAGTACCAGACACTGCAATTGAGACTTGAAAGGCAAAACTTTGTCCTGAAACTGAGTAACAAACGAAGTAATTCGCGGCTTTCTTTGGAATTCTGAGGAAGAAGAGGAACAGTTTTAACTTTTATAAATGTAACACAGCTGTGGTCTGTACTGCATTTCTGTCTTTATTTTTTGTTCTGTTCAGTGTTTGCCTCTCTGATCACAAAAAAATATGTCTTGGTTTTGTAACCTGCACTACGTGAGCTGCAGATTGTGTGTAAACTCTGCCGTTCCTTGGGGAAATCTTCCCTTTTCAAATAGTAATTTGTGAACATTCAAATTATCTGATGCAATCAGTGCTCGATAAAATAAGAGGAGGTGGTATTTCTACCTGAACACCGATTGCTTCTAATAGCAGTCTCAGTGGGTCTGTGCTGAGAGAGGCACAAAGATGGGGCTTGTAGGGTGGTAAAAGAAAGGTTATGTTTCTTCTTACGTTTTACCTTCACAAAGGAAACTTTTTTTCCCCCATCGTCCTCCCAAAGGCCTGTTCAGTTGGACAGATGCAAAAGTCAGCACCCTTTTGGGATCACCCAGTCACTCAGTTCAGTGACGGTGATGCTTTGCTAGGGAGCATGCTAAAAAGCCTTTCAAGTTTCCACGTCAGTTAAATGGATTGTCCCAGTAATTCAACAAATGAATTTTCTGCATTTCTGCTTTCAGTTTATGCAAGGGAGCAAACTGAGGACCATCACAGACTGCAAAGGTCATTGGGCCTCAAGATAATGTGTATAAGCCTAGCAGTTGGGGAACCTTGCAGGTGAGGTTGTGCTCTGATGGAGATGGCCGGCTGGTGGTACAGGGGTAGAGCCCCATGCTGCACCACCAGCCAGAGGGAAAGCACAGCTCCCGTTTGAGAAGAGTTTTGTATGAGTGCCAATTCTAGCTCTTGCAGCCTCCTGCTATGTAGAATTGGCTGCTGGGAAGTATTCTGCTTCATTCTGTGCATCTTTTGCCCTGCAGGTCTACATGGCTCTGTTAAGCAGGAGGAACCTTTTTCAAAAGTGGACTAGGAGACAGATTTCAAAAGGTGAAGCAGACATTTTTCCTTAAAGTCAGTTTTACCAGATTACCTCACTGTTAGCGGACCCTTCACTTGCTTTTTCCATTTGGCTTGAGTGGGAGTATATATAACCCTCCTGCACTGCGCAATGGACCATTTCACAGATGTTCCCAGACAACGAGGTTGTTTCCTCCCATGCAACTGCAGCGGAAGCTGTGAAGATTTCTCAGACACTACTAGCAGCAGCTCTCCTGTTCTTACCAGCTGTTTATTGTATCTCTGTGCAGCAGCTGAGCATCTCTGGTGACAAAGTGGGGAGCCCAGCATTTCAAAGCAGTGCCTTTTCTCACCAAGTCAAATGTTCTCGTTTAGCCTGTGCACCATGTAAAGCGATGGTGACATTTTACATGTGATGTATACCTCATTAAGAAAAATAAAATGCTACAAAGCTTTTTATGTGATGTGTCCCTGCTTCTTACTTCTTTCTAACGGTGCATTTTGCTGTCTCCTGGCTCCCTAGCATTGGACTCCAAGGTAGGAGGAACTTGGATAAAACCTACATGCCCTGACAAGGTTTTTTTCATCATCTGTCCCATGAGGTGCTGCATTAGCAAGAAGGCATTACCGTTCTTGGCACTGGGAGACTGCATCCGGTAAATCTCGGTGCCCCCCACCGCAAGGGGGATGTAGACAAACAGGAGAGAGTCCAGAGGAAGGCTGCTAAAACCATCAGCAGCTGGAGTACATGGCGTATGAGGGGGGGAGGAGAGAGCTGGGCTTTTTCAGCCTGGAAAAGGTGGAAGAGGGATCTAACTGTTGTCTTTCACTACATAAAAGGGGTCACAGGGAGGGCAGAGCCAGGCCTTTCTCAGAGGTGCACAACAAAAGCACAGGAAGCTACAGGCACAACCTGCCACAAAGGAACTTCTGCTTGGGCATAAGGTACAGCCTCTTGCCCCCAGGAGCTGCACAGCTCTGGGACAGGGCCCGGAGAGGAGTGGTGGGTCTTTTGGCTGTGCTGTTTCAGCTTCGCTGAAAGAGTCAAAGGCAGCAGAGCACAAGCTTACATGCAAGTAGATTGTAGAGAAATGACATCCACCTTTCTGTCTCAAATAGAAAATGTGGATTAGATGAGAGCAGGATGACAGCTCCCATGGTCAAGGGTTTCCAACAACATCACCTCTCCCTTGAATCCCTGTCATCACGATAAAAAGCTGGAAAGGTGACAGCAGTGGATGAAAGAGTAGGATTTCCTTCTTGTTTCTTAAGTCCACAAGATCTTGAGACATGACTCTCCTTTATCTTTGTAGTGACAATACATGTATTTACAAACATATGTATGTACACAAATACACAATGATGCGTGTGTACATGACCACAGGGCCTTTCATCTGGCAAACTGTGCCAAAACATCTATTGCCCTGTAATCCTATATTTGCTGGTGTTCTACCCCTGTCTGCTGCTTTCTGGGTTGTAGAGCAAGGAATTAGACCAAGCAGACCTTGTTATCCCATTGCACAGGAAAGCCTAGAAGATTTGTATCCTGGGAAGTAATGCTGTTATGTTCCATTTTTAGAGTAGATGGACTTGTGGGATCAGTTCTCTCTGTCTCAGCGTATAGTGAGGAAGACACATTCATCAATGCAAAAAGAATGGCAAAATTTCTGTGAGATGCAAGAATATCCACAGAGAGTATTGTGATGGGTTTTTGCTCCACCTTCAAGGGCAAGTGTTTTGTATCTGCTCCCACTCCTTTCCACAGAGGAAGTTTTAAAGAGGGAGTGAAACCCAAAGCACAGCTGCGATCGTGTCCTTTGCACAGCCATGGTAAAAGCCTGCTGCACTGGGTTTTTATGCAGTATGACCTTTCTTGGCCATTGAGCTCCCCGGCTGCCAGCATAGCCTTTCTGTCACAAGGTGGAGATCACAGACTGGTCTGTGATCAGCCCCAGAGCCAGATCTCCAGATCTCCAGATACACGCTGGACCAGAGCAGCTGCCTCCTGCAACCAGCACTGGAGTAGGCTTTGTGGGTATGTGTAAAATCAATCAAAGCAACCGTGGTTGCCTTTAAATTATGATAGTGTGTGTGGATTACTGTAACCAGCCATGGATGGTTGCCAAGAGAGCTGGGCAGTGAGGCAGGAGTTATTTTCCCTCTTTTGGTGAACAATTTCCTTTGGGGAAGGAAAGGAGTAGAGATTAATGGCTACCAGGCATGTCCGTGGGTCTGCCGTGTGGCCTTGTAAGCCCTGGTGTTTCTTTTTAGATGTGATTAGAAGGAAGTCCCAGTGCATTTCCTTTATCTCTATAAAATTGAACACAGAATGGTGCACCTCTCGCACCCAGCACCTCGCTGGCCGGCTCCTGGCACCCATCTCAGCTCCCACTGCCCTTCCAAAGTGGTTGCAACATGGGGAGGCTGTGCTGCTCCGTCACTGTCTCTGGACATCACAGTACTTTTACATGGTAGCCTCCTGGGGCAGGGGCAGCTTCCTTGCTCCTGGGGCAGACGTCCCTCCTGGCTGCTGCACCTGGGTCCTCCGTGTGTCTTGCTCTGGGCTTCCTTCCCTGAGCAGTCCCACATGCACCAAATGGGTCGCTGCAGACCACAGGGGGTCTCTTGGCTGTAGTGCTGGGGGTTGGGAGGCGGCAAAGCAATGGCCGGGATGTGGCTGTTTAAACTAGGCTTGGCTGATGGAGCATTTCTTTCCTGTCTGTGGTTCCCTGTCAGGGTCCATGGGCATTTTGGATTGAAGGGCTGGAGGGGGATGTCCATGTCACAGTGAGTGCTCACCCTGGGAGCACCAGTCTCCGCCCCCCACGAGGAACTGAGCTGCCGCAGCAACATTCAGAGCAGGTGGGGGATGCTCCTGCTCCCGGGGAAGAGCCTGCAGGACCCACCCCTTAGGCAACCACCCCTCGTGTGAAGGCACATTGCCCAGCAGAGAAAGAGGTTGGCGCCTGGTGGAGCAGGGGCAAGATTCTTCTCTCCCAAGGCAGCAGCTTCCTCTGCCTCCCACAGCAGAGTGCTTCTATGATCATGTTAAGGCTGCCCGAGTTCCTCTCCGTCTCTTCACACAGCTCTTGTGGCAAAAGACGGGCAGCTCCAGTGCCCATGTACCAGAGGCCATGGGAGCAGAAAAGGCCTGGAGCTGCAGGCCGTACCACATCCACCCCTTGCCACATGAGACATGAGCTCTGCAGAGCAGGCGCCCGGGACGCAAAAGCTTTTCCTCTCCTTTCCTCTTGCTCTCGCAGGCCGACAAAGTAGCTAGTGCCTGTGGCCAGGCTATGGGGTATGGGTATATCCAGCACTGCTGCCAGCTGCTGGAAAGCAGGCAGTGCTGGTCACTTTCTCCTGAGGGTCCTGGTTTCTTCAGTCAGGGCCTGACTTTTCCTCCACCATTTCATTCCCACAAAGGAAAGACATGCAGATGAGGTGAAGGAGCAGGACAGCAACCTTGGTCCCAGAGAGTTGTGGTGAATGGAGTTCAATCCAGTTGGCGGCCAGTCACAAGTGGTGTTCCCCAGGGCTCAGTTTTGGGGCCAGTTCTGTTCAATATCTTTATCAACGATCTGGACGAGGGGATCGAGTGCACCCTCAGTAAGTTTGCAGACGACACCAAGTTGGGCAGCAGTGTTGATCTGCTCGAGGGTAGGAAGGCTCTGCAGAGGGACCTGGACAGGCTGGATCGATGGGCCGAGGCCAACTGTAGGAGATTCAACAAGGCCAAGTGATGGGTCCTGCACTTGGGCCACAACAACCCCATGCAGCATTACAGGCTTGGGGAAGAGTGGCTGGAAAGCTGCCCAGCAGAAAAGGACCTGGGGGTGTTG